CTGTGGTGATATTGTGTCTGCCAATATATTGTGCACCCTAATAAACTTATCTGGGGTCAGAAAACAGAACAGCCACTAGATAGACATAGAGGCCAGAAAATGATACCACACATCCCTTTAATCCTAGCCTTCCAGAGGCAGAGGTCCATCCAGATCTCTGTGAGTTCAAAGCCACACTGGAAAGAGCCAGGCATGGTGACACATGCCTTTAATCCCAGGAAATGAATGCAGGAAGCAGAAAGGTATATAAGGCATGAAGATTGAGAACAAGAGTCTTTTTTTAAGTCTTTTAGCTTTTAGCAGCAATTCAGCTGAGATCCACTCCCATGAGGACTCAGAAGCTTTCAGTCTGAGGAAATAAGATCACTGAGGATTTGGCAAGGTGAGGTTGGATGTGGCTTGTTCTGTTTCTCTGATCTTTCTGTGTTCACCCCAATAGCTTAGCTCCGGCTTTGTTTTTAGTAATAAGACCTTTTAAGATTCATGTAACAGTCTACAGATTAGTTTTCTCTTACTTCTGCATCATTAGTGAAAATAAGTAAAGCAAATTAAGAATATTTATTTTTACATCATGCTTCTATTGTTTCATTTTCTTTATCAGGGTCTCACTCTGCAGCCCTGACTGGACAGGAACTTGATCTGCTGACCAGACTGGCCTAAGAATCATAAAGAAAAGTTTGCCTCTGCTCCAGAGTGCTAGATTAAAGGGCTGCTCCACTCTGCATGACTTCTAGTAATTCTGCACAGTTACTAATGAAATAAACAGCAGCTGTTAAGATTCAGCCTCAGATCCTGTCAGTCTGCTTCCCTCACCAACTCCACACCTTCACTTTTGGACCTGAAACTTGACAGAGCTGGACTCTGGCAATAAAGTCCCTGTCAAAGACTTTTTATAAAGGGGAGAGAGATAATTTTCTGCTGGACAAATGTGGTGGTATTGTGTTCCCCAAAATATTGTGCACCCTAATAAACTTATCTGGGTTAGAGACAGAACAGCCACAATATTAAACATAGAGGATAGGCAGTGGTAGCACACATCTTTAATCCTAGCATTCCAGAGGCAGAAATCCATCTGTTCAAGGATACAGCCAAGCATGGTGACTCACACCTTTAATCCCAGAAAGTGAGACTTTAATCCCAGGGAGTGATGGTAGAAAGGAAAGATATATAAGGCATGAAGACCAAAAACTAGAAGCATTTGGCTGGTTAAGCTTTCAGGCTTTTAAGCAGCACAGTTCAGCTGAGAGCCATTCAGATATGAGGACACAGAGGCTTCCAGTGTGAGGAAACAAGATTAGCTGAGAAGTTGGCCAGGTGAGGTTAGTTGTGCCTTGTTCTGTCTCTCTGATCTTCCAGTGTTCACCCCAATACCTGCCTCAGGTCTGATTTTATTAATAAGACTCTTTAAGATTCATTTTACAGACACATCTTGGCCACAAAGACCGAATCGTTTCTAGACCTTTAGACTTCCAGGCCAGCCATGGACCTTTGGGACTTCTCCTTTCACAGGATCTGACTGAAACTCAGATCTCTTCTCCTGATCCTTTAGTTAATGCTTAAGTGAATGCTTAATTTCATGGTATATGAACTAATGAAGCAAATTTCATAATTTTGAACTGTATCATTAGGTGTGCTTGAATGAGAAAAAGAATAAAAAGAAAAGGACATGAGTGCTCCTAAGTATGGTGGAGGAGAAAGTTTATTGTAGTTGTGTCCAAGAGCATAGTCAGAGGCAGGGATATCTGAGGGAGTCCAGAGTGGATAAGAGCAGACTGAGCTGGGTCATGTGGAGAGAGTGGGAGGGGAAGGGAAGAGATGGGAACCAGGTAGAGCAGTCAGGAGGCCAAACATACAAAAGAGACAGGTGACCAAAATGTCTCCACTACATATGGAAGAGCCTCTGGGGGAAGGATAGCCCAGCCTCTGGGTAGGGGAGTTCAGGGAAGGGGGTTCAGTATGCCAGCCATACTCTATATCAGGTAGAGACTGAAGGATTCTGGGAGAAACTGGTGACCAAATCCAGATTTGCTATGATAAAGAGTCACCTCATCTATTTGTCCCAAATTGAAATTTAACATCCCAGCTGTTTGTTGATAGAAAAATCAGGCAGCAGTTAGAGCAGTCTACAGCATTTGATTGCATAGAAATCTGCAGGAAGAGACACATATTAGCAACAGAAGATAAAACTGAGGAGGTTAGGGGGAAATTTGTTTCTTAGATGTCCATTTGAAACCTTTAGGTCCACAGTCCTTGTCACTCTGGGAGGGGAGTCCCAAGACCAGAGAAAGGGGAAAATTCCACCCTCAGGAATAGTCAGGTGGGGAAGCAGACTGTTGATTGACAAGATTATATATCTGGAGTCCATTTGACATGTGAGGGGTGGATGGAAGTAGATGACCTGACGCTTACAAGACTTTTTTAAGTTTATAAAAAGAGGTACACGTTTTAGATATGTTAGCTTTGCTACTATTTGTAATCTGTACTCATATCTACATTCTAGGAAGAGCAGTAGACTCATGCTCTTTTGTCATGGTAAAAGTGTGGGGACCCAAAAATGATTCTGGGTTAAAAGTATGAACACTATTTAAGGTGATCTCAGAGAGGACAGAAACATTCTGGGGAGCAGAAGGGCAATAACTCACTTGATCTTGATTTTAAATATGAAAAAAAGCAGGGCCTCTTCTCTCTGTCCAGAAGACTGGATTTATGTAGATTATTCTGGTATTTCAGCTCAATAAGAAGAACTTTTAAGTCTGTACCTCAAAAACAACCAAATGGAATTTAAAATCTTGAGGGTGTGACTATGACAATAGAAGCAAAGCTTTCCTAGAGCTACACTAATAGCTTATCAGAACTGCATTGATTAATAAAACTTTGAGCTTGAAGTCTTAACATAAATGTAGCATGATGAGAGACAGAATTTTGAAGTATTATTCATTCTTTTTATATGCCTTAAATCAATATCTTATCACAATTTAAACTTTGACATTCTCACACCTTACAAAAACTTGCATTTACACAACTCAAAACCCCTTTTCTTGGACCATGAAACATTTCAAAGGTCTTCAAAACTTATGCTTTAAATGTTACACTTTTTTCTATCCAAATATTCACAATGAGACAGAGGTCACTGTAACACAATTATCCTTTAAAAAAATAGTAAAAGGTTATACTGAAGTATGTTTTGTGAGTTTCTCTCCTTTGGAGTCTGATAACAGGGCAAATGGTGATTAGACACATAAGTAACTCCAGGAAAGTGAGGCCTGTGGGCATATTTTTATATATGAAGAGAATTGGAAGGCAGCTGAAGTCTTGAGAAAGCAGCTGGGTGCTTGCTGCTGATAAAGCTACCTAGTCAATATCCTCAGAGATCTGAGAAGGATACATTATACTGGATATATAATCTAAATGGTTTATGTATCAAATAAAATGAGAGTGACCCATTACCTATACAGGCTACAATAGTGTAGGCAGTGTAGTCCGAAGATTTCTCCAGTCCTGCCTAGCCTGGTGTCCCATAGCCACTTATAAAATAATTACTCAGAGGCTTACATTAATTACGAACTGTATGGCCATGACCTATGACTCAATTTTTTTGCTAGCTAGCTCTTATACCTGAACTCAGCCCATTTCTATTAATCCATATGTCGCCACTGTTCCATGGCTTTTCCTGTGTGCCATTACATGCTGCTCCCTGGACAGCAGGATGGCTCCTCTGCCTCTGCCTCTGCCTTTCTTCCTCCTGTCTCTTTACTGAATTTCCTGCCTGCCTCTAAGCTGCTTTGCTATAGGCCAAACAGTTTTATTTATCAACCAATCAAAGCAACACATATTCACAGCATACAGAAAGATATCCCACAGCACTGCAGTGGTCTCCACAGTTTCAGTGGGGACAGTAGTTTTAGGTCTTCAGCTGTCATACAAGACAGCATATGTGTAGCAAGAGCCCACAAGTATATATATCTCAATTTATTAAGGGGTGCAATGGAAATACAGACTCACTAATACAAAGCAAGGTAGACATGCTACTGATCTGGTGTTGAACCAGATGCCAATATCCTCAGGTCGGATGGGCCCCAACTGAAAGCCATTCTCCACCACCTGGCCCAGACTTGACAATCCAAGAATATAAATGACAACTCTCCCTCAGATCTTAAGGGGCCACATATGCAGACAAAGCCACAGCCTAGAGCTTCTTCCCCAAAGCCATTGGCTAAATGGAATGAATTCCCACAGTACATAGGACTTTGGTTGCTAGACCCAAGTCTCAGATTTTGTTCTGTGGAGGAGCAACTTGGGGGAGTGACATTATTTTAACTAGGCAAAATATGGCAATGAATCCAACAATATTCAGTTTGAGCAGAGCCCTGACAGCAGGTAAGGAATAGGGCAGTTTTCCCAGTGGTTAGTTGCTGTGGGATGTTTTTTCCTGTATGCCATTAATATGTATTGCTCTTGTTGGTTGATAAATAAAGCTATTTTGTCCAAATGCCAGGCAGAATAAGGTTAGGCATTCCATTCAAGCTAAGTAATGGATGAAGAAGGGCAGGGTAGAACCTGCAAATATACAGTGATGGATAGAAATGGGTTAATTTAAATGTAAGAGCTAGCTAATAACATGTCTGAGCAATCAGCTAAATGTGTATCATTAATATAAGCCTCTGAGTGGTTATTTGGGAACAGGCATGTGGGAAAGATTCGTCCATTGACAGCTAGTGTTACCACAATCCAGACAGAGTTGCCCTGTGCTATCTATATTCTTTGGATGCCTTAATGGTTCATTCTATGTTTGGGCAATTCTATCTGCAATAGGGAGCCTAAACATTTTTTTTTTTTAGTTTTTCAAGACAGGTTTTCTCTGTGAATTTTTCTGCCTGTCCTGGAACTCACTCTAGACCAGGCTGGCCTCAAGAACTTAAACATTTTAAATGCAATATTCTGCAGATCTCTGAAGCATTTGAGAACCACCTGTCTATTAGGTATGTCTGAATAGACAAACTTTGCTTGCTTCTAGGGACTTGTTTTAGGATTAACTTTGAAAATATATAAAAGTGGCT